CAGGGTGAGGATGGTCATAAAGTATTAACACTCACAATCTCCTAACACTCACAATCTCCTATTTTTCACAATCTCCTATTTTTCATTCAATATTTTTCATTCAATATTATAAACTAAAAGATCAATTTTATGGTTTAAGGTAGTAAATTGAAAATTTATTCGTTCAAAGTTCACAAATTTTTTTATATAGTCAATTCAAACTTTTAGCGCGTCATTATTTTGGCGCGTAATTTATTTCTACTAATAAGTCAATTTTATGTTTTAGGTAATAAATTGAAAATTTATTAATTCAAAGTCTACAGATTTTTTTTATGTAATAAATTTAAACTTTTGGCAATTTTACTAAGACCGAAAAAACGTAGGAAGAGAATACAAAATTTCGAATAAAACACAAATATGTGTTATAATCAAGAACAAAGTTTCACGTTTGGAAATTTTAACTTTTCTCACATTAAAGTGATAAACAACATCACCATCATAACATCTCAACTTGGTCATCATATGTTCTCATATTTATTAGCTGATTCTGCTTTCATGAGAGCACGAATTCTCAAAACTTAAATTCCAAACTTTATATTCCGGCTAAACAATAGCCTATTTAGTACCACTAGAAATTATCTAGAAAATAGCGATATCAAAAAATTTATAAACGCTTAGCCAAATAAAAAATCAAACCTTGAACATGTCTCTTAAATAGTAACAAAAAGCTAAGGATGACCTATTGCGAAAAATTCTCTCTCTCACACACACACACAAACCTAGTTCGGCTTCGCCGTGGTGCTCCGATCTCCCTCGAGGATGCCTCTCCTCCTCTTCCTTAAGCCGGTGTCCTCTTTCCTCGCTCAAGGACGGTGGAGATGCTCGTATGTCTGGGTTTCAAGTCGCCTTCGTCGTCGGCTCGATGCTCCGCCGTGGTGCTCTGTAGCAGATTGTTTTCAAGTCGCCTTCGTCGTCGCCTTCTTGGTCTCTCTCTTTGGGCATTGGAATTTTGAGAACGATTCCTTCATCGATTTGAGATCCCCTTTTCAAGCTTCCTCCGATTTGGTACACTCTGTGTAACGCTCCCTTAGAAGTATGGATTGCTTATTTCTTTATCTCTGGACTCGGTCTCGGGTTTAGCTCGAGTTTGCTGCTGCTTTGTACTGTTTCGATACTATCTCCAATCTGGTTCCGGTCATGGCTGCTTGTGTCTCTTCTTCTTTGACTGGATTTAGCTCTGGTCAGTAACCATTTCGGGAAACTGTTGGGTTTTGTTCATTGTAGATCTTAAAAATTGCAGATAGGATTGCTCTGGAGTGTTGTTGGTTCAGGGTCCTTTATGATGTTGTTTGGCTCTGCCTCCTAACTGCGTTTCGAAGGATTCTGGTTTGCTCTTCTATTTTCCAATGAAATTCACATCTGTTCCGCGTAATCTGTATACTCCATTCGCTTATCACACTCACAAGTGGAACTTTGATGATGATGTCCTACACAGAGAAAGCTTCGATCTTTGGGCACGGTAGCGAGATAGCAAACAAGCTCAAAGGATCAACACCACACGACGAGCTACTGATCCAGATTTCTCAATCGTTCTCTGGTTTGCAATTGGATTGGTACTTTTCATGGTGTCTCTCGGTAAAGACAGAGAGTTTCCATAGCTTTTTTCGTTGGAGGTTCAGTGATTCTCTATGTGCGTATGGCTCTATGGAGTGTTATGTTTGAGTGGAAGATTGAAGATCTTTCTTTTGAATCTCCCAGGCAAGCCCTTGGAGACATTGCTTTAGCTGTCTCTTGGGTTTTYTTCCTCGTTTATACTTGGAGGGACAAGTATGATTGATGTTTTGCTTTTTGTTTTCTGTGCTCTAGTCTTTTTGGAGAGTATTGCGTGGGTGGCTCTTCTCCGTTGTTTGGTTCTGGAAGCATCTACTTCTACTCGGTTTTGTGCTCGCTCAATGTCTTTGTGTTGTGTTACATTCCCAATCTGCGTTCGAAGGATTCTGGTCTGCACTTCAATTGCCCCTCTTTTCAGTCTAGACCTACCTCTCTGCATTGTTGGTGTTCTAGTCTTATCGGAGACTATTGTTCGGGTGGTTGTTCTCCTATGCCGCCGAGTTCGTTTGGTTTTGAAGCATCTACTTCTGCTTGGGTTAAGGATTGGTTAGAGGCTGGTTTAGTCTTCGTAACGAGTAAGTTATGCGTTACTACTTACTGAGTTTAGAAGTCTAAGTCTAGGTCTACATTTTTTCTTAAAAATTTACTATCAAAGTCTATATTTTGCTATTTAGTAAAGTAAATGTAAAGTTATTTTACTTTGACATGTTATTTCCCTCCAATAGCTAGCTATATAAAGGAAACACATCCACATTAATAAAATCATTTCTCTGACTCGAGAGAACTAAAAACAGAATCTTTCTTCACAAGTTACACAGAAACCGAAACACAAGTCTCAACAACAACAATGGCGAGCGAAATCAATTTGACCGTCGGATCTTTGGTGAGTTTCACATCGACCATAGCCAGAGAGTTCTACGAAGGAAGGGTTTACTTTTACGATCCAAAGGATGCAAGTTTCGGGATCGATAATGGTAAGTTGCTTCATGTCTCTTTTGATTGATTGTGAGAATGAGATTAGGGTTTACTTGTTAGAGATTTCTGTTGAAGAATCGAAACTGGAATAGTTTAAGATTCGTTGATTCTTGTTTGTGTTCTTGCGATTGTTAAAGGACGTTTTCTGATTCGAACACAAGAAACTGCTGCTTTCGATCGTTTTCTTGACTGATTTCTTTTGCCTATTGAAATCATTCGAGCAAGTACACACCAAAATGATGATTTCAATCATTTTCTTGACAAATTGTGACTGTATAAGAGCGTAAATACTGATTGTTAGCTTAAATTCTTGGATTAAGCACTAATGTATGTGTCCTTGGTCTTTTTTGCTGATTTCGATTGTTTTCTTGGTGTCTTTTGTCTTCTATGATTGTACAGTATCGCGTACCAATGTGAGTGGAGGTTATCGTCGAGTTGAAGGGTGTTACCAGTTTTCTCTGAAAGACATCAAGGTTGGTCTTTTACTAAACATCGATCTGATGGTCTAATCATCTTATATAATCCGATTGATATTAGTTAATCAAATTGCTTGGTTTTCGTAACATAGGACTTGAGGGTGATTCGTGAGCCAAAGTTAATCGTCGGACCTTTGGTGAGCTTCACATCGATGACGGCCGGAGAGTTCTACCAAGGAACGGTCTACTTTTACAACTCAAAGGATGCAAGTTTCGGGATCGATGATGGTAACTTGCTCTACACGTTTCTTTTGATTGAGATATTAGGGTTTATAATTGGTACTGTTTCCTGATGCGATGACGGGAAAATGAAGTAGGGATGCGATGGTTACTGATCGTTCATCGATAGATTGAGTTTTCTGGTTCGAGCACAGGAATTGGTTCTTTTGTCTATCGAAAAGCCTGCTGATTTTGTCTTCCAAAGGCTTTACTTCGTCTTATCTGAAATATTGAGTGAAATGATTCGACTCTCTCTGTGTTATTGTACAGTATCGCGTACCAAGTTCCGTAGTGGTTATCGTCGAG